GGGTTCAAGCAATTCTCTCACCTCGGCCTCCAAACTAGCTGGGATTACAGGTGTCCACCACTACGCCCAGACGATTTTTGTATTTTAAGTACAGATGTTTCGCCACGTTGGCCAGGCTGGTCTCGAACTCCCGACCTCAGGTGACCCACCCGCCTCAGCTTCCCAAAGGGCTGGGATTATAGGTGTGAGCCACCGTGCCCAGCCCGTTTACTTTGTTTGTTTATTTAGTTTTGCCTCCATGCCTTTGTTATCTCATCCCTTTCCTATAAAACATTCCTCTCTCGCCTACTGTCTCTTGGAATTAATCTCACACTCAGGAATGCACCTCTGCTGTGGGGGCTCCCGGAAGTCAGAGCCAAGGCCCTCTGGTGCAGCACTGCAGACCGTGGCCTGGGGGTGGGGGACTGTGTGTGGCCAGTCCCTTTTGTTTGTTTGCACCTTAGGCTTTGACCCACACAGAAACAGATGGCTGCAGGGGCCTGGAAAGCAACGAGCATGTGATGTGGGTGGCACCACGCGAGGCAGCCGCACGGGTAGGGGCTGCCTGTTCTTCTCTTGACGCTGCTCGAGGGCACAGTGTGGCCACCACTGCCACTTAGAGAAGGCTTCAGGATGCAAATGAGAGAGGACACAGGACACTAGCAAATCCTAGCTCTGCAGGAGGAGGCAGGCTGCACTGGGGTGTCGCCACTGCCTTGCCTGAGCCGGACGGTGGCGATCGGTCCACTTGTGGGGAGCAGGGAGGAGTGAGGACAGGGCCCAGCAGAACAGGTCACTGGGGACAGGGACCCAGCCTTCTTGGCTCCTGAATTGGAGGCTGGCATGCCCCGTCTTAGAGTCCTTCATTCTGCACAGATGCGCTTGGCATCTACAGCAGGACCAGAGCCCACGACACTGGGCATGGAAGGAAACAGCCGCTGGGATGGCGGCTGAGTTCGGGATGGGCTCTGAATGGGATGTCAAAAAGCAGGTGGCAGGAGAGGGTGAAGGGAGGGTGAAGGGGAGGAGAGCTGGATGTAGAATCTCATTTCGTGGAGAGCATGTCGCATCCCTGTCCCGTGCCCATGATGGGGGAGCCACGGAGGGCCTTACAGGAGAGGGATGTGACCAGCTTCGGTGTGAAGGCTGCAGAACAGAGGATAACTAGAAGTAGGGAGGCCACCTGGTAAGAGACCGAGGCTGGGACAAGAGTGGTGCCCTAGTCGGGGGAGGGCAGGAGAAGCTTCTAGAAATGTGGCTGCATGTTTAGACCCATTACTAGACTTGGGGCAACCATGCCAGTGACAACATCGAACGTGTTACAACAATGTCATTTTTTCAAGGCCAGGCACCGGCACATTGCTTCCCTATTTACAAGGAAGGAGACTGAGATTCTGAACACTTAATGTGTCTGACAGGGCATGGCCTCTTATGCCTGTAATCCCAGCACTTTGGGAGACTGAGGCAGGAGGATCGCTTCAGCCCAAGAGTTGGAGACCAGCCTGGACACCATAGTGACACACCCTCTCTATAAACAAAATTAGCTGGGCTAGGTGGTGCACACCTGTGGTCCCACCTACTTGGGTGCTGAGATGGGAGGATCATGATCATGTGGGCCACCAGGGAGGTCGAGGCTGCAGTGACCTGAGATCAGGCCGCTGCCCTCCCACCTGGGCAACACAGTGAGACCCTGCCTCAAAATAAATAAATAAATAAAATCATTAGCTCATGCCTATAATCTCAGCACTGTGGGAGGCTGAGGCGGTTGGGGAGGGAGGAGGTCGGGGGAGAGGGCCTTGCTGACCAGGTTGCTGTCGCAGCCTCTGTCTCTGGACCTGGGTTCTCGCAGGAGCCCCTGGGGTTCTAAGGTGGAGCGGACCCATCTCGGGACCTCCGGGAGGAAGAGGCCGGGCGCCACCTGCTGGCCAACCAGGGAATCGACAGGGTGGAGAACTGTGGAGCTGTTCTGGCCCCAAATGAGAGCCCTGATTCCCACCTACCCTACCAGACAAGACCCGCACCGTTCAGCCCAGTTCTCCTACCCATGGTTTGGGGCCCCATTTGCGATGGTGAATCCTGAACTCGGTGCAACTCTGGCTGCTGGCAGCTGGGCTTGGCCTGCCACCTTCCTGTCCCCAAACTTCCAGCCACCCCAGGGTGCCACCACCAGAGCCAGAGGCCAGCCCGACTTTCACCCACTCCTGCTCACAGCCCAGCTGTTCTCTACGCCCTCATCTGCTACCTGCAGCATCAGAAGGACCTGAGGGCAGGAAATGCCCCTGCAGCTGTCCTCAAACATCGTGGCCAAGGCTGCGCCCGGGAAGCGGACTCCCTGCAGTGTCAGCTCCCTACTCAATGCCCTTGACCTTTGTCTGGGTCCATGCTTGATATGGTCCAACTGGCTGGGCCAGAGCTCCACAGGCACTGTCCCAACGTTTAGCTTCTCAAGAGGGAGGGAGGGAGGGAGGGGCCCAGAGCACAAGGGAAACAGAGACTCAGCCACAGCCCCAGCAAGGTGAGCATCTCCTCCAAAGCCTCACCAGGCTTCACGTGCAAGGTCAGCAAGAGTGCACTTGTTCTCTGTGGAGGGCGGGGGTGACTCCTGGGACTGTGCTGGGGTCCAGGGAGGACAGGTAGCGGAGTTGCCAGGGAAGCAGCTTGCCTGAGGTCTGTGGTCATGGCAGAGGCTTCCCCAGCAGCCCCGCCCTCTCTCTGTCCCCTCCCTCCTGTCCTTGTCCTTGTGTTTATTGAAGACCACAAGAGGGGATGTGGAGAGCCCCTACTGGAAGTGAGAGCAGGAGCCTGGCTCACCCCAGAGGCCCCCAGATATTGAATTCCTAAACCCGCAGGGTGGGGCATGGGCATAGGGAGACCCCAGGGTGGCCCGGCACAGCCCTGCTCCTTCACCCTGCCTGCCTGGTGGCCTCCTTAGCTTTCAGCCTCAGTGCAACCCGCTGTGGGGCCATGCTGCCCCCTGCTGGCCACATTGCAAAATGCAGCCCAGGATCGGCCCTGAGGCTACAGGTGTCCCTCTTTCCTGAAGGCTGCCGCTGGGCTGGAGGGAGAAGGGGACGCCAGTGAACAGCCGGGTGCTCCCGCCCAGGGGGATTGTCCGACTGCATGGGGAGAAAGTCCAGAACCATGCCTGGCACATGGTAATCTTCCTGAAGTGAGGGCAAAAGTATGCGTGATTGTGTGCATCTGAAGCATTTCGGTGCTGATGGCCTGACCAAGGGCAGATGACAATCTTGTCAGCTATTTCTCCAGCAGGAACTGCTGCATTCTCCTGCCTTGCCTGCCAGGGAGCTTGGAGGCGCCCTCGCCTGGGAATCCGATGGCAGGGAATCATCAGAAGGTCTCCAGTGCTCCTGTTCCTCAGCCCCAGGAACTGGGGTGGGGACAGGGCGGGGAAGCCGCAGAGAGCACAAAAAGGTGTGAGAGGGCACGCGGTCCCCAGTGAGCTTCCACATCAGAACACCAGGACTGTCCCAGGGACTGCTGGGCCTGTGTGAAAGCCATGGTCCCCATCCATCCCACCTGACCCTGAGCACCTCCAGCAGCCAGGAGAGGCCCTTCGTCATCCTCAGCCAGGTCATCTGGGGAACTGCGCCACCGCAGAGAACAAAGCCCAAATGTGTCTGGGCGTAGAGGCTGTGCCCACCTCCCCCGGAGACTTGCCCCAGACTTAACCCAGGGCCCAGCAGGGGCTGGAAGGGAAGCGGAGTTAGGGAGCCGAGCAGGTCACTGCCAGCTGCGCCCTGGATTCCAGGGCCCGTGTGCACAGAGTAACAGGAGCCGGCTGTCTGGCCAAGGCCACAGGACGGTGTGAGTGTGCACAGCAGCCAGGGAGCAAGGGAGCCAGCAGGACGCACGGGCGTGACCTTGGGCGTGACAAGGAACCGGTTCACTCGCACCCAGGCAGCAGCACTGGCCTTGGCCCCCAGCCCTGAAAGCTCGGGGACTGCAGGATAAGCAGCTCGAGAGGCTGTGGCCCCAGCTGGGCCAGGCTGTGTGCTGGTCCCTAGAGACTCTGGGTGTCTCCTGCCCAATCCTGCCTCCTGCCCAGCACAAGGGCCTGTGGAACTCAGACCTCCGTGTCTCAGTCCCAAGAGGGTCAGATGGTTGGGGATGAGAAGGGCCGAGGCTGGAGAGGAAGCGCCAGGAGCCTGAGGCTCGAGTTGCACAGGGCAGGGGATGGCATCCTGGGCTTTCTCTCCCACCACCCATTCTGGCCAAATAGAGCAATGGACTTAGCCTTGGCCTCCTTGAACAAAGACCTGAAGGCTCCTCAGCTTCCGTGTGTATCTCCAGCAGACAGTGTCTACAGCCCCTGGTCATACATGGCCACAGGCTTCTCCCTCCTCCTTCCTGGGCCAGAGTGGCAGCCCCAGCCCCATGCTGGGGAGGGGTAGACCAGAGACTGTTCCCTCCTGGTGGTGCCCAGCAGCGACAGTACATGTCTGGGCCATTCTCAGTGCTGCCACCTTGAGGGCATTTTTGAGGCCCAGACAGGCCAGATTTGTCTCCTAGAGAGAAGTATGGGCACCCTTGGGCTCTACCTAGCCTCCTGGCCTTCCCTTGGGTCCCCTTGTAGAGAAGGGGCCCCCGGCCCTGGTCCTCCCTGGCTTCACTCAGCAGCCGGCAGCCTGTCTGTTCTGTGCACACCAAGGCGGCAATGGCGAGGCTGTGGGTAGCATGGGCCCTCCCAGCCTGGCTGGGCAGCTCTGGACTGCCCAGATGGCACTGTACTTGCGCTCGGGGCTTCTGTGGGACCTGGCACAGTTCAACATGCCCCTGTACATACACTTCCCCCACAGCAGGTGCTGGGTGGCCCAAGACCGTTCTGCGGTGACGGCGGAGGTCCAAGGGCCAGGACCCAAGCTCAGGGGAGCCTGGCCTGAGAACTCTCCCTATGGGCCAGTGCTGCAGAAGCTGCAGGGGGCCCACAGCCAGCCCAGGACACAGCTGGGAGAAGGGCGCTGACCTTGGAGGGCTGCATTCTGCTGCCCTGAGAGCTGGATGCTGGGGTCCTAATCTGTCACCTAGGGCAGAGCACCATGCAGCCCATCCCCCTGCCTTAGCACTTCCCAGCCCCCAGGCTCCCACCCTCATGCCCCACCCATGACCCCGCCCCCTCTTCCCAGGCTATAGGGAGCAACTTGGCTTGGCCCCCGATACCCTGCAGAAGCAGGCGGACCACTGCAATGACCGCCGCATGGCCTCCAAGCGCGTGCAGGAGCTCAGCACTGGCCTCTTCTTTGCCGTTCTGGTCAAGGTGAGCCCTCCAGCCTGGTGCCCCTCACTTCCCTCTGGCTCCCAACCCTCCCGGGCACCAACTCACCAGGAGGCTTCAAGGAGCCCAGGGCAGTGCCAGGAGGTGCCATGGCTGCAGCACTGTCCCTGCAGGAGAGTGGCCCCCTGGAGTCAGAAGCCGTGGTGATGGTCGTCCTGAACCAAGCCTTTGACGTGCTGGTGCTGCGCTACGGCGTGCAGAAGCGCATCTACTGCAACGTGAGTGCCCTGGGAGAGCCCGGGGGCGGGCGGGGCAGCCCAAGCCATCCCACCCCGGAGGGGTGCAGGCTGTGATGCGTCCCACTCCACCCCTCGCTCCCCCAACCCTAGCACAAAGCCTACCTGATGGACCTTGCTGAGATGCCCACCTCTTCCACCTGGGATGGTGGCTCCAGGCCCAGGGCCGGGCCTGGCCCCCTTCCCCAAGGACCCAGGAACCAGAAAGCGGCCCCTCCATGGGCAGTACAGCTCGGCAGGGTGTGCGGGCTTTGGGGACTGTGCTTATTAGGAACGTGAAGGAATGAAAGGCCAGCGAATGGTCCTTGGCAGCTCTGGAAACTGTGTCCCCTGAAGACAAGGGAGAGAACTGTCCCTGACCCGGCTCCTGCGCTGGGTGACTGTTGATTCACAGTTCTCTCTAAGGGGACATGGACCTGTCCTAATGCCACCTTAGGGGCTTGGCTGCAGCTGGCCCTGGGGTCCTCAGGTCACCACCTGGCCCCTGTGCCTGGCTTTGAATTTCCTAATATCCAGAGTGCCCGGGGAGTGCAGTGTCCAGCCCATTGTGCGCAGCAAATGTGGTGTTCATAACCTGGAGCCGGGCAGAAGAGGAAGGACGGAGTCCACCTGCAGACCCTTGGGGCTCTGTGTCCTGAAGTTCAAGTCTAGGTCACCCCGCGGTGGGCCCAGCCCCGCCTGCACCGACAGATGGCACCAGCAGGGGGCGCAGCACTCCTCCGCCACTGTTCTCTGTTCCCACCTCAGTGCAGTGAGCCCTGGGCCCATTAGCACACAGAGCCAGGAGCCTGCAAGCCCCGCCCTTGGCCCGTGGTTACTCTCACCTGCTGCCTCAGCCAGAGGTGGCCTGGCAGGGCCTCCCTGAAGCTCCTTCCAGCCAGGCAGGTGTGGGCCAGGATGGAGGGCCAAGGGCCTCCTCCAAGCAGTGAAGCCCTCCAGGGTGGAAGGGCAAGTGGTCCCCTCTGTGTTCTGTCCCCCCAAGTCCTGGCGAGCCCTTCCCTGCCTCCTGCGGTGCCCCCCTTTCCCTCCTCTGTGTCCCCTGGGCTCCCCCAGCACGGCAGCCTCCTGGGTGGGTTTTGGGGCCCCTGGGCCCTCCCAGCTCACCCAGAGCCCTTCCTGAGGGCCCTGCTTTCTGGTATCACCTCCCCTTCCTTGGGGACAACCACAGTGGAGAGAGGCAGGGCTCTGCCCTGACCCTGGAGCAGACCCCCGTTACTGACCAGAGGCCGAGGGAAGGACCTGGGGTCCTGCTGCAGGGATTGAGATGGAGCTTCGCGTCGACATCAGGCCCTGCCGTCCTTGTCCCCTCACGGCCGGGCTCTGCACAGGTCATCACCATCTTCAGCCTGGTGGAGGGGATCCTACGGGCAGTCCTGGCCCACTAGTATAGTGCTGTTCTGAAGCCACCGGGCACCCAGGGACTCCTGGGCCCTGAGGAGAAGGAGGAGGAGGAAGAGGAGGAGGAGGAGGAGGAGGTCAAGTGTGATGAGGAACCTGAGGGCTGATCCTGCTGGCCGAGCTCAGCCCACCCTCCTGCCCCACCCCAGTAGCTTCAGGAATAGGACCTGTTGACACCAGGGATATTTTAATTTGGATTTTAACAACTCAAGGGCTTGCTTTGGTTTTACTTTTGCATTTTCTTTAATGTTTGCAGCTCAGTTTTTAAACAAACTGCAGGGGAGAGGATGGGCTGGAAGGAAGGCTGAGACCTGGCCAGCAATGAGCCCCGCTCCCCTTCTGCCCTGGCCCCACTGCCCCCTCCAGCCCAGGGAATGGAGCCTTTTCTGCAAATCAGTGTCAGGGAATAAAATCAAGTGTGGAGTGCTGTCTGGTGTGTGGGGTGCCTGTGGGAAGCCTGGGCATGGAATGCCCCTTGCACCCAGGGCAAGGGACCCAGCTCAGGCTCCACCCTTCGCTGCTGAGCTGATGTCACCACCCGGAGCCTTCCCGTCAGTTCCAGCATGATTCAGAGCCGGCCGTGTGGCAGATTGATGCCGGAGTCTCATTCTGCCTGATTAAAAATGTAATTAGTATGCAGGACTGAGAGATCCCCCGTCACCCTGACGCATGAGGCTGTGTCCATCCCTGTCCCCGCTTCCTCTCTGCACCAGCTCCACAGGGCCTGGCGGGGGTCATGGGTTCTGCAACACCCCCTCCCCTGTTTTCTTGGCCAGCACTCTGAATGGCCCTGTCTATACCCTGGGTCTGAGTCAGTGCCCTGGCAGCTCCATACCCGACCTTGTGCTCTGGGGACAGAAGCAGGTCTAGGCCTAGGGGGAGGGAAGGAGGGCCCTGGAGGGGCCCTTCCCAACCAGGAGGGGAAACCAGCTCCTGGTGACACAGCCTGGCCCGTCCCACACCCAGTGTCCTGAGCACCCACGGATCCCACCTGCTTCGGGGCCTGGGCAGAGCTGCCCGGCCACTGGCCTTCCTCAGCCACCCAGAGCCCAGTCTGCACTCCTTCCAGTCTCAGTGAGGGAAGCTCCCTGGCTTGGCTTCCCCGAGAGCTGCCAGAAACTAGGATGAAAGCCACGGTGAGCCCGGCCTCTGCTCCCCGCGCCATTTCCTGGGGTGTCGGGATTAACAAGCTCATTTGATCTGGTTACAGTGAATTTTCTTCAAAGAAACGCTCAATAGGGTCCCTTGTCAGAGCCTCACAGCGCCTGGACCACAGTGACTGGGCACGGCTGCCTTTGTTCTGCCACCATCAAATGGGGCTGGCTGTGGGAGGGGACCAAAGACATCCCTCACCTGCCCTCGGTGCCTTCCCTCCTCCAGGGCTCAGTCACCTCAGGTGGCCTCAGTCTGTGTGTCCTCACACCCCTGAGATGTCCCAGAGGCCACAGTCACCCCATCTGTTCCTGTCCCCAGAGCCTTCTCCTGGAGCCAAGTATGTGCAGGGACAGGCGAGCATCTGAGGGTTTGGTGTTGGGGTGAAGGCTGTGTGTGGGGTCCTGCCAGGACCCAGGCAGCCTGTGAGAGCCCCAAAGAGGAGACACCCCAGCCCCCCTCCCCTCTACGCTGCCCACCCTCTGAGGAGACAACCCAGCCTCCCTCCCCTCTGGACTGCCCACCATCTGAGGAGCAGTGGCCAAGTTCCTCTCTGGGCCTCTCAGGCCAGGCCGGTCCTGCTGTCCCCCAGGGCCTCCCACGGAGCCTGGGAGCTGCTCCTTTGCAGGCAGCACGGGCCCAGACGGACACTTGTTCCTACATCTCAGCACCTCCAGGCCCTCGTGAGGAGTAGCCAGGGGAGTCAGCAAGAGGGCTCTCTGCTGCCTGGACTTGCTTGGGAGGCAGATGCTGGGCTCAAACCTTCTCCAGACAGCCTCGCCTTCCCTGCTGGCCCCAGAACATGGCGATTCCCTGGAGGCCATGGCAGCCCCAGTCCACCCCACCCCATCTGGGGGAAGTGGAAACCGTATTCAAGAGGGTCAGGTCAGGTCTCTGCCTATGGTGATCCGGCAAGGCTGTGCCCAGCCAGGACCAGGGCTCAGGCCCAGGCCGCCCCCACACCCCACCACCTCGGAGCTCAGAGCAGACCGCCCAGCCTTCTCTCCACGCCACTCACGCACAGCCCCCGCCTGCATTCCGTCCTTTAAGGAACATGGTTGACTCAGCCCGATGCCACACATTGGCGAGACAGCTCTCCATGGTCCACTGGGTGCCCAGCCTCTTATGTGGCCCCTCACTGAAAGGACTCAACAGAAAGGGTGGGCAGGCACCGATCCTCATCTAAAGGAGGACTTGGCCACTCCCTGAGCTGTCCCACAGCACCTGCCGGCCAATGCTGGGGCACAGAGGGAGACTCTGCCTTTTCCTCAAGGAGACACCGTAGGGGAGGGAGGGAGCTGTACTCACCACCAATCTCCTTCTGTGACCAGGGACTGGCGGTGCTCAGAGGACAGGGAGTGTGTTCCCCACCCTGATGGGTCAGTGCTGGTCCCCGGGTCCAGGGGAAGATGGTGCAGGCAGTGGCCGGGCCTGGGGAAGGAGCTGAGGCTCCCAGAGCTTGCAGCCACCTTCCTGGAGAGAAACTGACGCCTCCCCAGTTCCTGTTAAGAAGGACCTCAGGAAGGAATTGGGATCACGCAGCCTAGGGTGGCGGCCTCCTGGCCCCTAAGGAGGATGTCAGGCCGCAGAAGGGAGGGACGGGCATGAAGCTTGGGAATTGGGCACTAGAGGAGGCGAGGCCTGCGCAGAGGCACCACCAGATGCCACTCCAGCGGCTCTACCACCCAGCAGCGGCGCCGTGAGGCAGGAAACAGGAGGCCAGGCAGGAGGGGCTGTGATCACTCAGGTGCCAGGAGGAAGGCCTGACGGGACAGGGCAGCTGTCCAGAGAGGCCTGTGGGGACGGGCTGCAAAAGTCACAGTTGGGGATGGGCTTTCTCCAGAGAGGTCTGCAGCGCAGACGGTGCTGCGGGCCTGGCCGTGGGCAGCTCTGTACGTGAACCTGCCCCAGTCCTTGCTGGCCATGGACCAGAGTGGTTCATGGGTTGGAATCACAGAATTCAGGGGCTGACGGCAGTCGGGATGGGAGTTGGAAGGGCTGATGTGAATTAAAGACTTGAGCCCTGGTGGAGGCAACCAGATGTGATGCTTTTCACATTAAAGAAGGTTCTGGAGAAGGGGGTGATTCTTGGAATGATGAGCATCAATTTGCACAGGCCTGGGTCTGGGTTCCGAATATCAAACCATATTGTAAGACCATCTCTTTGAACCTTCTCTCTAATTGTGGGTTTTTATGGTTTGGGGGAAATTTTGCTTATTTATGTTGTTGGTTTTTTGGCTTTTGTTTTTTTGAGACAGGACCTCTCTCTGTTGACCAGGCTGGAGTTCGGAGGCTGGAGTGCTGTGGGGCAATCAGGGCCCACTGAGACCTGTACCTCCCTGGCTCAAGAGATCCTCCCGCCTCAGCCTCCAGGCTAGGTGGGAATACAAGCAAGTACCACCATATCCAGCTAGTTTTAAAAATTTGTTGTAGGGATGGGGTCTTACTGTGTTGCCCAGGCTGGTCTCAAACTCCTGGGCTAAGGTGATCCTCCCATCTCAGCCTCCCAACATGTTAGGATTATAGGTATGAGCCACCATGCACGGCCTATTTATTTTTTCATAGATAGAAAGTCATTTGAGGGGGAAACTGATCCATTTTAATAATTTATTTTACTTAAAACCAGTTTTGCTCAACCTCGTTCATGAGCTGTGTTACATTCTTTAATGTGTGTCAATAGTACATTGCTCAGTTCTGGAAAGCACTTAGCCAGATAGTTTAAAAACAGCAGAATAGAAGATGGAACAAAAACTCTCCAATAGTGTATTCAGCTTAACAGGTTTTCAGCTCACCAGGGTGCTATTGGAATACAATTGTCCTCCAGGTTCCTGCCAGGCGAGATCAAAGTTAAACCACTAAATACAATGGCAGCACCCTTGACTTCGTAAACTTTCTTTTCCACACATCCATATATACACCGAAGCACCTTTCAGGGCAGAGTTGTCTTTTGTCCCTCACTCTCAGGGGACAACTGTGCACTAGGACTCACCTGCCAGCCACCACTGCCACTGTCACTACTGCCAGGGGTTGAAGGGGTGGCCAGATCAGGGCTCCGGTGCCTGGCGGAGCTCCCCTTTAGCTGAGCCGGCCCGTTCCTCTGCCCCAGTTTCCCGCAGGCTGAGGCCCCAGGCCCTGCTAGAGCTCCACGGCCTGTTGAGAGGCCTCCCAGGAAGCACATGGGGAGGAGGTGGGGGTGTCTTTTGCCTTGGGGGTGGGACAGTCCCTTCTGGTTCCCACCCCAGGTACCTGACCCAAGTTCTCCTGTGGGTGAGAAGCGCCTGGATGTCCCTCCCTGGTAGGTGGGATGAGCCAGAGGGAGGTCCTGACTACACAGCCCTTAATTAAGAATTGAAGAGATTTGTGCTCTAGAGGGAGCTACTTCTGTGACCATTTGGCCAACTGTGTGGTGTGCAGACCCTCAGCTTGGAAACGGGGTTTCAAGGATGTTCAGGACTTGCCTCGTGTTAGTAAAGGTCAGGGTTCGCCTCTTCCCCCAACTCCCCCCGCCTCACTCCCCCTGCTAACTCTGCAGCAGGCCCTGCACTAATCAAGCCCCACAACAGCCCGGAGACCCAGGCTCTGTGAAAGTTTTCAGAATCAGAAAGAAGTCGCTTTTGTCCACCCCTAAGAGCAACAACAAAATAATGCAGGGGGGGCGGTTATGAAGGAGGCACCCCCACACACCTGCCTACGATCAGCGCCCTTATGAAGCCTCTGGGAAGGGTTCTGAGGCACAGATGCCTGTAACAAGACCTTTTGCCAGGACTTTGCAGCTGGCTACGTGAGTCACAAGGACGGTCAGCCCGATACATAGGAATACCTGCCTGATACGCTGTGTCTGCTTGTGAACTGATGTCTGCTCCTGGGATAAGCCCCTGGAGCCAGGGCTCCCTTCCTTTCAAAACAGCTGTGTAGCAGGACGCAGTGGCGAGTGCCTGTAGTCCCAGCTACTCAGGAGGCTGAGGCAGAATTGCTTGAACCTGGGAGGCAGAGGATGCAGTGAGCTGAGATCTCGCCACTGCACTCCAGCCTGGGCAACAGAGCGATTGAAAAAAAAAAAAAAAAGAAACAGAAACAAAAAAAGACAAAAACAAAAAACCAACCATGCACTGCTCCTTGTGCCTTTCAAAGCCCCCCCTTGCCTCCCCTCTGCGACCCGCCCCTGGCTTATAAGGGCGGGGCTCCGCGTGCAGGGCTGCTGCTGATTCCCTATTAGGCTCCATCGTTTCGGAGAGCCTCCCACTGTTTCTTGAGGTTGACAGGACTCTCACGCTTCCTGTTCGCAGATGAGGGAATTAAGGCTTGGAGAGGTTCCGTTCTGAAGGACACCCAGTAAGTGGTGGAGAGAGCGATTCAGCTCAGACCCAAAGGCTATTTAATTTATTTCTTTTAATTCCATGCTTCTTAGCGCTCAGCTAGTCACGTGTCACCTTGACAGCTTTTTGCCATCGCCACTTACTGCCTGTGGTATTATTTACTGAACATTTTTCGCTACATAAGCTCCGTTTTTCCTTAAATCTATTAGAAAAGGAAACTTGTAACTACAAAACATGGAAGACCACCATCTCTTGCCATAAACAGAAGGCAACTGTGCATTCCAAACAAACCAAAGCCATGTTCTCACCGTGTCCTTAGACGCTTTGAGCTAAAAGCGTGCTTTATCTTGTTAAAGGGGAGATACCAAAGTGCGGGTGGTAGTGAAACTAAGCAAAGCCCGCAAGGCATATTTCTTTTTCTTTTTCTTTGTTCTGAGATGGAATCTCACTCTGTTGCCCAGGCTGGAGTGCTGTGCTGGGGTCTCAACTCACTATAACCTCTGCTTTCCAAGTTCAAGCGATTCTCCTGCCTCAGCCTCCTGAGTAGCTGGGATTACAGGTGTCTGCCACCATGCCAGGCTAATGTTTTATGTTTTTTTGTAGAGACGGGGGTTCCATGGTGTTAGCCAAGATGGTCTCAATCTCCTGACCTCGTGATCGCCCAAAGTGCTGAGATTACAGGCATGAGCCACCGCGCCTGGCTTGTATTATTTCTTACAACTACATGTGAATCTGTAGTTCTGTCAAAAATTCCAGCTTAAACATGAAACTCAGGGTGGCTGTAAAGCCTGCTGACTCACCTTGACTTTGGAATGAATCAATGAATTAATTAATTGCCTGTCCATTAGTGAGTCTCCTCTGACCTTTAGCCAAGAATGCTCCTAACTCAGCAAGATGAAGCAGGAGGTATTGGGAACTAGGAGGGCAACTACCAGAGGGCAGGAAGGCCCCACGTGGGCGACATCTTCCCTGAGAACCCCAGGACGACAGTGGGAAGCCAGGCGAGGTGCAGGGAGGAGGACTCCAGAAAGCTCGGCCTGAGGGAAGGCCCGTGGGCGTGGTGGGGAGTGGGGTGGGACAGGCAGAGGCTGGGCAGCAGGAGAGGTACCCTGGGCTCTGGGGACCAAGCCTGGGGCTCGGGGTGAGCAGGCCTGAGTGAAGGAGGGCTGCTGTGGTGGAGCTGGAGGAGACTTTTTGTCTCAGACCAATTTCTGAATTGTGCTACAAAAGACAGTACATCACATTTACCTCCTTCACCATTTTCAAGTGTACAGGGCGGCCATGTTGAGTACACACACATTGTTGTGCAGCTGATCTCCAGAACGTTCTCACCCTGCAGCCCTGAAGCTCTGTCCCCGTTAAACTCCAACTCTAACCCTAACCCCAACCCCAGCCCTAACCCAGTCTCAGGTAACCTCCATTCCACATCTGTCTCTACGAATTTGACTCCTCTAGGGACCTCAGAGAAGTGCATTCATGAGTATTTGTCCTTTGGCACTGTGTATTTCACTGAGCATAATGTCCTCAAGTTCATCCACGTTGTAGCAGGTGTCGGGGCTCCTTCCTCTTCAAGGCTGCATGATACTCCTCTGGACATGGGTCCCTGTTTGGTTTCTGCATGCCTCTGTCGATTGCTTCCAGCTCTTGGCTGCTGTGGATGCTGGGAGCATGTCCCTGCCTTGCATTCCTTTGGGTACACATTCAGAGTGGGATGTCTGGACTGGAGCAATACTTTTGAACTCAGCCTGAGGTTCACTCTGAGCACCACGTGACAGGCTACAGTTCTGGGTGTGCCCAGGGCCCATGGAAAACAGACTCACCCCAGCTCCATCTACCTGTGCAAGGGAACAGGGGTCAACCTCAAGTGCACAAGCTACTCTGGAAGACGCAGCCCAGGCCTGGGTGGCCCAGGGCACTGGCCCTTCCCCCCACCCCGCATCCTCACGACATAGGCGTGGGCACCCACACACACCAAGTGGGTTCCAGGGCAGCCAGGCCACCGAATGTGCCTCCTTTCATGCTCCTCGGGGGCTCGTGGGCTGTGTGTTCCCAGTCTCACCTCTCTTCACACCAGAACAGAGCCAGGTAGTAGCTGGGAAATATGAGCCAATGAGGCAAAGGAAGGGGTGGCACTAGGAGCCACACCCTGTCCCTTCCCTTCAGCAAGCTTGGCTTCAGGTCACAGGACTGGGTGGGGTCAAGATGGACACCAGGGGCGTGAGGAGAGACGTGGAGCATTTATTGCCAGGGGCAAAGTCCTCCCCTGATTTAAACCCAGGTAGCCTGCACTGTAGCTGGTATCTGCTGTCCCCACTTCGCCTCCCTCCTGCTGCCCCCAAGACATGCAGGGGCTGTGGGTGCTGCTGCTGCTGGGCCTGAGGCTGCAGCTCTCCCTGGGCATCATCCCAGGTAATGAGGCCCCCCTGCTGTTCTGCACCCAGGGCTTCCCCTCAGCCAGGCTGACCTGATCTCTACTCTCCCCTTGGCCAGTTGAGGAGGAGAACCCAGCCTTCTGGAACCGCCAGGCAGCTGACGCCCTGGATGCTGCCAAGAAGCTGCAGCCCATCCAGAGGGTCGCCAAGAACCTCATCCTCTTCCTGGGCGACGGTGAGTGAGCAAGGCTGTCCAGCCTGCAGCCCTCACAGCCCCAGCACCCGGACTGTTGGTGGTTCCAGGACAGCCCTGGGGCCCAAGCCTCACACATTTCTGCTCCTTCAGGGATGGGGGTACCCACAGTGACAGCCACCAGGATCCTAAAGGGGCAGAAGAATGGCAAACTGGGGCCTGAGACACCCTTGGCCATGGACCACTTCCCATACGTGGCTCTGTCCAAGGTGAGGGCTGGGCCACCTCGGAGTCCTCCAAGTAGAGGGGAGGGGTCAAGGATATGGAGGGTGACAGGAGGGAGGGACTCCGGACAGCTGGGGCCTGAGTTAGGAGCTGGGGGCAGTTAGGATTCCAGAGGACCAGAACCAGGGCTCTGCTTGGGGTCTGTGTATCTGCCCCAAAGTAGAGCTCAGGGTGTCTCCGTCCCCAGACGTACAATGCGGACAGACAGGTGCCAGACAGCGCAGGCACAGCCACAGCCTACCTGTGTGGGGTCAAGGCCAATTACAAGACCATTGGCTTGAGCGCAGCCGCCCGCTTTAACCAGTGCAACACGACCCACGGCAATGAGGTTGTCTCAGTGATGAACCGGGCCAAGAAGGCAGGTGAGCTGGGGCCCGCTGCAGGGTCAGGGCCAGGTCACAGACCTCTGTCGCATATCCTGACCTCTGTCACCCTCAGGGAAGTCAGTGGGAGTGGTGACCACCACACGGGTGCAGCACGCCTCACCAGCCGGTACCTACGCACACACAGTGAACCGCAACTGGTACTCAGATGCTGACATGCCTGCCTCGGCCCTCCAGGAGGGCTGCCAGGACATGGCCACGCAGCTCATCTCCAACATGGACATTGACGTGAGACCCCAAGGCCAAGGGCTGGGCAGAGTGGAGGGGGGGAGCACAGGCTCAGATCCAGGCAACCAACAGCCTCATGGGGCCAGCAGGGTCTGGAGGTTGGAGGCATAGAAGGTGCAGCACAGGCGGGGCCCTTTCCACAGTCCTGGTGAGGGGAGCCAGGGGCTGTGCATGAGGAGGGGCCACGGAGCCAGTCAGGCCCCAAACCCACCTGCCCCATCCTCTGTCCCCAGGTGATCCTGGGCGGAGGCCGAAAGTACATGTTTCCCACGGGGACCCCAGACCCTGAGTACCCAAGTGATGCCAGCCAGAATGGAATCAGGCTGGATGGGAAGAACCTGGTACAGGAATGGCTGGCGAAGCACCAGGTGATGGGGGCTGGTGGGTGCAGGGTCACTGCACGGGGAGTGCAGGGGTGTGGGGCTCGGGGCTGTGGGCTGAGGCCTGGCTGTGTCCCTGCAGGGTGCCCGGTATGTGTGGAACCGCACTGAGCTCATGCAGGCTTCCCTGGACTTCTCTGTGACCCACCTCATGGGTAATGACCCCCTTCTTGCCCTGGCACCCTTTGGACAGCCTCAGATGGCACCTTCCGAGCCTGTGTGCACACCTGCCAGCACCCTCCCACACCCAGCCTGCCAGTCACCACCGAGCCCCTTGCCCCACAGGCCTCTTTGAGCCCGGAGACACGAAATATGAGATCAACCGAGACCCCACACGAGACCCCTCCCTGATGGAGATGACGGAGGCCGCCCTACGCCTGCTGAGCAGGAACCCCCTCGGCTTCTACCTCTTCGTGGAGGGTGTGTGGTGTCCCCCTGGGGAGTGGAGCAAGGCGGGGCAGGGCAGGGCAGGGCAGGTTCAAGCATCATGCCGCTCTGGCCTTCCTGCAGGCGGCCGCATCGACCATGGTCATCATGAGGGCATAGCTTATCATGCGCTGACGGAGGCGGTCATGTTTGATGACACCATTGAGAGGGCGGGCCAGCTCACCAACGAGGAGGACACGCTGACCCTCGTCACCGCTGACCACTCCCACGTCTTCTCCTTTGGTGGATACACCTTGCGAGGGAGCTCTGTCTTCGGTAGGCCTGGGCAGAGGGGCAGGTGCTGCTGCATCAATTATGTGGGTGAAGTCTGAGCCTCGCTTTTCTCCTTTGTCAAATATGCGTAATGTTGGCACCTGCCTTGTAGAGATCTTGTGAGGACCTAATCCCTGAACAGGCAAAAAGTGGCGATGCCTGGCACATGGGAGGCGCTCCCACAGCTGTGTTCAGCTCAACCACAGGGACCCCCATCTCCCCACAGGGCTGGCCCCCAGCAAGGCTCAGGACAGCAAAGCCTACACGTCCATCCTGTATGGCAATGGCCCAGGCTATGTGCTCAACTCAAGCGTGCGACCAGACGTGAATGAGAGCGAGAGCGGTGAGTGGGGCTGGATGGCGGCTCGGGGTGTCAGGGGGCCAGGGATGGCGGTATTCTCGGGAGGGGGACGCCGCCCGCCTTCCCTGAACTGCACTCACCATCCTACCAGGGAGCCCCGATTACAAGCAGCAGGCGGCGGTGCCCCTGTCGTCGGAGACCCACGGAGGCGAAGACGTGGCGGTGTTCGCGCGCGGCCCGCAGGCGCACCTGGTGCACGGTGTGCAGGAGCAGACCTTCGTAGCGCACGTCATGGCCTTCGCCGCCTGCCTGGAGCCCTACACGGCCTGCGACCTGGCGCCCGTCACCCCTCCCGCCGGCACCACCAACGCCGCCCACCTGGCTCCCCAGTCGCTGCCTCTGCTGGCCGGGACCCTGCTGCTGCTGCTGGGGACGGCCGCTGCTCCCTGAACGCCCCACCCCGGAATTCTCCTGCTCCCCACCTCCAGGGGTCGTGCCCTGGTCCCTGTCCCGAGCTGCCACTCCCACAGAACACACACAGGTGTCCTGCCGCCGGACCTTCACCTCCTAGAGATAAACCAGCCTCAGCTGGTGTGGCGCTGCCCTTCTTCGCTCCGTATCCCCTCCAGGGTGAAGCACAGGGAGCCGGGGAGCTGAGCCTGGAATTTGCAGGACCAACCTCCCCCCCACCCCGCCCCCAGCTGCTCTCTGATTCTTCCTCCCAACCCCAGAGACTGCAGATTTGTGCCATGCGGCTGCCACCCAGCCCCCAGCCCGCCTCTAGCCTGAGGAGGACCAAGCAGGCATGGATCCAGAGATGTCCTCCTACCCGGGACACGACACACTCAGACCGTGTGCCCCACCATTCTTAGCTTCAGTTCTGGCAGCTAAGGACTTGAGTGCATCAGGACACCTGGAGAAGAGCAGCTTCCCACCACCCTGCAAACCACCTTCTAACCCTGTAACCCACCCAAGGAGGCTCTGGGGTGGGGATCCCCGGGGGGCCTTGACACAGTCCTCTGTTGTCTCCCCACTGGGATCATTCCACAACCCTGCACCTGACCAGGAGACCAATGAGGCAGACGCTTGCCCCAAGTCGAGGCCACTCAGATGTTCCCAGCCCCCCATGCCGATTCCAGTTAAGGAGATCCAAGGAGCACTTGGGGAGCTCTGGGTGCAGGGCAGCAGCCCAGACCCAGAGCCTGTGGCCCCTCCCAGGACATCTGAACTCTGGGCATAGATTTCTCAACAAGGAAGACTCCCCTGCCTCCTCAAGGCCTCCATTCTCCTGGGAGACAAAGCAATAAATAATAAAAGGAAGTGTTAGACAATGCAATGCCAGTACTACTTCCTAGGAAAAAAATCATGAGTGCCTGTGGGCACAGTGTCTGGAGGGGTGGATAATGCAGGCCAGGAGGGGCTGCTGAGGAGCAGACAGACGGTTGAGCAAGAGACCTGCACAGAGTGAGTGGGGGCTTGAGCAAGGCAGTGCCAAGGCCCTGGGGCAGTGCTGGCTGGTGCTCTGGGAGGCTGGTAGCTGGATCAGAGTAGGTGAGTGGGTAGCTGGGTAGAAGAGGGGAAAGCCTGCTGGGTCAGGAGAGTGGGGGGCATAGGGGACCGTGAAGTCTGGGTGGAGGGGTGTGGTTGGAGGTCTTCGAGGGGGCTGTGGCCCGCCCTGGTTGGGAAATGAGCACTCTGGCTGCTGCCAGGAGAAGGGTCTGGTTTTTTGGGCAGAGGGTGTGGGTGGTAGAGGGTAGAGGGCAGAGGTGAGAGCTGGTGAAGGAGCAGACGCTGGTGTTTCTGATCTCCCTCCAAAAGCATTCTGGAGCACCCATCCCGGTACACCCATACTTAGTACCACACCTGCCCCAAGAGAACACTGAAAACAATTAAATAAAGGTGAAATCAACCACATATTCCAGCAAATTCTACAGTATTACAAATGTATTTGTACATTTACAGAGGTGTGAAAAAGCATCTTGCTTTTGCAAGAAATAGTGCCACGATTCAATATGATTTCTTATTTACTAAAACCTTGAAATAAAATTGTGAAACATCAGTTTGAAGATCTGGCTCTCAGGGTAGATTTTTTAATCCTGGGTTTTAGTGGCTGTCACAAAAATATTGGAGCTGATTGGAGGAGCCCTGATCGCACATGTGAACAGCTGTGGGACTACAGCCTGGGAAACGAGAATCCATGTCTAAAAAGCAAAATAAAATCATTAATTTTATGGTGTGGAAATTATATCTAAATTTTTAAAAACAGATTCGAATATATAATCTGCTTTTAAGTTTTTTTAAATGTACAGGGATGAGGATTTTATCAGTCACATACATTTTTGACCACAAAATTCATATATCAATGAAAACACTCTCAAATTTCTGTTCTAAAAAAATGTTCTTTCCTTGGCATGAGTTTTCATTCCAAGATGATTACTTTCTCATTTTTCTCATTGAAAGGACATCTTTACCTTGAAGGAGCAGATGCAAGAAAAGTACATTTATTATTTCTCAAGCTTTTTCCTGATTGCCTAAAACAAGTAGCTCTTGTCATCTCAAAAGTGTAAGCACTTTGGTCTTTAGGAAGGAGGGAGGCCGGGCACGGTGGTTCACACCCGTAATCCTAACACTTTGGGAAGTCAATGGGGGCAGATCATTTGAGGTCAGGAATTCTAGACCAGCCTGGTCAACATCGTGAAATACCATCTCTATTAAAATACAAAAATTAGTCAGCCATGATGGCGCACGCCTGTAATCCCAGCACTTTGGGAAAAGGAGGTGAGTGGATCATTTGAGGTCAGGAGTTTGAGACCAGCCTGGCCAACATGGTGAAACTACGTGTCTACTAAAAATACAAAGATTAGCTAGGTGTGGTGGCAGGCACCTGTAATCCCAGCTACTCAGGAGGCTGAGACTGGAGAATCACTTGAACCCCGGAGGCAGAGGTTGTAGTGAGCTGAGATCATGCCACTGCCTCCAGCCTGGGTGACAGAGGGAGACTCCCTCTCAAAAAAAAAAAAAAGGAGGGAGGTGGGAGTGGGGTCGAGGGTTGAAAAGTCACCTGTCAGGTACAAGTTCACTATATGGGTACTGGGTTCACTAGAAGCCTAATCCCTGCCAGTATGTAGTCTACCCGTGTAACAAACAAGCACATGTACCCCTGAATCTAAAGTTTGAAAAAAGAATATTCACAAGGAAAAAAAGAATCACAGGGAAGCAGAAACAGAGACATACATTAAAAATTACTGATAAATTTTTAAAAAAATAAGGGGGGAGGGAAAGTTAAGCAGAGAGGGAGGGAAACTTGGGACGACCCTCTTCGGTATTTTGCCATAAAGATAGTTCACACCTAATCTCCTTACTAAGTGTAGTAAAGATTCTACTCTAACACTACAGGCTTGGCTTTATAAAATTAGCCCACCGATGGCCTCCTGCAAAATTCTATGTGCCCTTCAGGCTTCCACTTCCTCCCTACGCTGATTAGACTGGGGATGAGCCAACAAGTGAGGGCTAAGGACGAACCTACCCCTGCACCCTGATTCGTATCCAGAATCCTTTTTGAAAAAATCCTTTCTGAGTAGCTATTCCATCCATGGTCGCATTTTTACCGTTTCCCATAAGACATTGTTTTTTATTTAAAGAAGACATTTACTATTGGCAATATATCTTGTCTGCTATATCTTCTCTTTAATGGCTCATGAAAAAAAAGCAAAGAAAGAAAAGAAAGCAGCAGTGTGTGTATTTCATTATTGGAACAGCACCTGGCAAATACCTTCAGCTGAGCCACATTGGGAACATCTGCGCTTTCAGCCCACTGCAAAGCAAACCTCCCACACTGGGTAATTTGCTCTAACACGAGTTTCTTCCAATCTTCGGCAGTGTTTTCTCTACATCTTCCGAAGGTGTTTGCTGACAGAGAAATGCCTTTCGGTTTGTCGGCAGATCATTTACTGCTCATTGTTTCTGCCATGTTTCCTGCAGCAGAAAGAATAAGTGTCTGCTTGGTGGTAGGTGTTTTTAGTCTCATGCTATCATGCAAAAACTTTAAAAGAGCTTTCCAAATATTTATCATTGCTTAGGGAAATACTAAGAAGTACTGGGCTGAACTGCCAGAACTTTAAACATTGCTGGGAAAAAACTGCACAGGCTTCTCTTCGGTTCTGAAAGCTTAGTTTTAGACACCTTGCCAACGGTGAGGATTTCACACTGCTGAAGACCAGTACCTCCAGGCACAAGGCACCCATGGCAGGCTTCAGCTGTAACTACAGAGTGGGAGAAATTCAAAGAGTTTTGTTGCTTATTTTATATATTAGGGGCGAACTTCTGTTCAGGTCTGTGCCCTGAGCTCAGCCAGGAGTAATGTGGAGTTCTCAGCACTCCCTTCTCCTGTGGTCACCTGCTCCAGCTTTCCAGTGCTAGCTGCAGATTCCTTACAGTAATCTTGTGTGAGCCACTTGGCCATTTTGGAGGGTGAGTTCAGTTAAAACTAGATCATATAATCCGTCAATCCACTTAGACAGACACACTAAACTCTAATAATCCTTCGCAATCCACAGAAAGTGTGCAATCCAGAGTGGGTACTGTGTCAACCCCTGGCCTGGGGCACCCACCTCCCTTCCTCCGGGACACCTGAGAACTGTCTGGAGTGGGTGCCTGCATGAAGGGTGAAGGTGCCAGCACGCAGCTCGATATTCAGCATGAGCTCTTGGGGCACCCACAGCCCAGGGCTGTGGCAAGGCATGTGGTGAGCTCAGCAAACAGTAAGCACTCAGGAGGGCCTGACATCCCTTAACCAAACCCCAAGGTCCAGGTTAGTTCTGAAGTGCTTGAGTATTGGGCAGGATGCTCAGGCTGAGCAACTCCCTGTGAGCAGGGGCATCACTCCCTGTAGAGCACAGACTCCAGAAGGCACCACAGGTTCAGTCCCCACCAGACTCAGAGCCCCCTGCCCATTGAGTTCCCTTGAGCCTCTGCCCCAGTGATTGGCACAGGAAGCCTCATGATCTAGGGAGAGAGGCCCACACTCCCTGTAGCCTCTGGGGAGGACTCAAGTGGAATCCCAGCTGTGCCCTTCTGGCCTGGGTGCTGATGTTGCATCTGATCGTGCCCTGGCCCCATTGGTTCCAGGAACAAGCCTCCCCACCGGGTTAGCAGCTGCATCCCTTCATCTAAGGCAGCCCAGGGCCTGCTGACCCCAGCTGACCCCAGCTTCCTCATTCGCTACCAGTGCACACACCAGACCCCTACACCAGCAAGCAGCTGGAAGCTCCCCTTGAGAGAACCTTGCCACTAGAGATGCCAGTCTTTGCCAATGCACTTGGCATGGTGCCTAGGAACCAGTCACGTGGCTCTTGACCTACCCTTCAAGGAGGAAGCACCAGCCCCTGTCAAAAGATGAGGCTACTATCCACCCTTAACAGGGAGGTGGCCAGGCCCTGGGGCCCTGTTCTGGCCCTTGCTTTGTTCACCAGATTTGCAAATTTGTTATCAGCCAGCATGGTTTCCCCACCTTCACCCACCCTGTCTGGGCTCCTTAGAGAAAAGGAAAATTCTCCCCAAGGAGCTACCTTCAGACCTCTCCACACAGATTCCTGACAGGAGTCCCTGCAATGGTTTGGTTCCACAGGATGGAAAGAGCTTTTTAAAATTATTATTTATGCAAAATATAGACAAGGAAAGATGCGATTTGACTGCACCATGTGACTGCTTCTTGGGGATTTGAGCTGCCTGCTGATCCAATGAATCAGCCATGAGCTTCTGCCAGAGGCTGCGGGATCCTGGGTGGCAGCTGAGGTCGGGGAAGCCAGGAACCATCTCATTCCCTTGCAACCTGATGAGCTCATGCTGGGCACAGGCCCAGCTTGGGACGGAACCATGCAGCCCTCTGGGCACCTTGAACCTTGCAGCAGGGTAGTAGGGAGGCTGGGGAGGAGGCATTCAATGGGGTTGCTTTATGTGTGGATGTGTTTATAGATTTTATTTTATTTTATTTGTGTGTGTGTGTGTGTGTGTGTGTGTGTGTGCGCGCGTGTGTGTGTGTGTGTTTTCTTTCTTTTTTATGTTTGAGACAGGGCCTAGCTCTGTCTCCCAGGCATGTTCTCCGCTCTGTAACCTCTGCTTCCTGGGCTCATGTGACCGTTCCACCTCAGCCTTCCAAGTAGCTGGGATTACAGGTGCACACCACCAGGCCTGGCTAATTTTGGTATTGTTTGTAGAGACAGGGTTTTGCCATGTTGCGAAGGCTGGCCTTGAACTCCTGGGCTCAAGCAGTGCATCTGCCTTAGTCTCCCAAAGGGCTGGGACTACAGGCATGAGCCACCATGCCCCGGCCAGTTTTATTTTATTTTTAATTGATAAATAATAATTGTATATATTTATGGGGTACAGTGTGATGTTTCAATACATATATACATTGTGGAATGATCATGTCAGGCTAATTAGCATATCCACCACCTCAAATATTTATTATTCCTTTGTGATGAGAACACTTAAAATCCCATCTTTGGCTGGGCTTGGTGGTTCACGCTTGTAATCTCAGCACTTTGGGAGGCCGAGGAGGGGGAATCACCTGAGGTCAGGAGTTCAAGACCAGCCTGACCAACACGGTGAAACCCCATCTCTAATAAAAATACAAAAATTAGCTGGGCATGGTGGCACATGCTTGTAATCCAAGCTACATGGGAGGCTGAGACAGGACAATTGTTTGAACCCAGGAGGTGGAGGTTGCAGTGAGCTGAGATCAGGCCACTGCACTCCAGCAGGGGCAACAAAGCAAAACTCTGTCTCAAAAAAAAAAAAAAGTAAAATCCCATCTTTCAGCTGTTTTTAAATATATAATAATTATTATTAACTATAGTCACCTTGCTATGCAGTAGAGCACCAGAACTTATTCCTCCTACTAACTGTAACTTTGTACCTGTTGACAAACCTCTCCCCTTCCCCGTTCACCTCCCCTTGTGCCTGGCTTGTTTCACTTAATATCCTCTTGGGTCGTCCATGTTTTTGAAAA